CAAAATGTTAACAACTGGGGAATTCCAGTGAAGGGTTTAGAGGTGCTTTTTCTACTATTCTTAACAACTTTCCTGTAACTTTAAAATTATTTTAAAATAAAAAACGAAGAATATATATATTTTTAATTTTATTTATTTGAGACGAAGTTTCACTCTTGTTGCCCAGGCTGGAGGGCAGTGGTGCGATCTCAGCTCACCGCAACCTCCGCCTCCCGAGTTCAAGTGATTCTCCTGCCACAGCTTCCTGAGTAGCTGGGATTACAGGCATGGGCCACTACGCCTGACTAATTTTGTATTTTTAGTAGAGATGGGATTTCTCCATGTTGGTCAGGCTGGTCTTGAACTCCCGACCTCAGGTGATCCGCCTGCCTCAGCCTCCCAAAGTGCTGAGATTACAGGCGTGAGCCACCACGCCTGGCAACCAATATATTTTAAAAGCTATAACAGAACATTAAAAAAAAATCTAAAATGTTTACAATGTATTTTTAAGCTTCGTATCTCAAGGAGATATCTATGTCTATTTAAATATTTTGTAAGTTTAGACTAAAACCATAAACAAATTGAATTTTAAGTTCTATTCAATGCCTTCCTACTAGAAACTACAAAACTGCATTGCTTATTTTTTATTCTATCAGTTATATGTTTAATCCAAATCTAAATGTATGTGAAAGGAAAGTACCTCTATGCTTCCCATAGGCATATGAAAAGTATTTTATTTTATTTTATTTTTGAGACAGAGTCTTGCTCTGTTGCCAGACTCTAGGTTGGAGTGCAGTGGTGGGATCTCAACTCACTGCAACCTCCGCCTCCTGGGTTCAAGCAGTTCTCCTGCCTCAGCCTCCCAAGTAGCTGGGACTACAGGCGCACGCCACCATGCCCAGGTAATTTTTGTATTTTTTAGTAGAGACGGGGTTTCACCATGTTGGCCAGGATGGTCTCGATGTCCTGACCTCATGATCCGCCCGCCTCGGCCTCCCAAAGTGCTGGGATTATAGGCGTGAGCCACCGCGCCCGGCCTGAAAGGTATTTTAAATGTTGTCTTTTACAGTTATTTTTTCCTTCAAAGATCTCTTAATGATCTATTGTATCAGTCTCATCATCTATAACTAATATTAACTTTGTTATGAAGTCGTTTTAAGCCAGAATTCTGTCTATTTAGTGGTACCCTAATATGCTTATACACATGTAATTAACAACCCATCACATCAGATTACCAACACACCGTATTTTGTTAAAATACAATTATTTTGCATTATGATTTACTAACCAATCTAAACCAGTAATTTTGCCAAAGCTTTACTGTATAGGGGAGATAAAGGTAAAATATGAGGAAGATGTTAATTCCCTACAACAGCACCTGACAAGCAGTAGGCCTGAGATACATATTTGTGGGGAGGAAAAGAGATTATTGAAAAATTTAGATCATTTGAATATATCATTAGAAACTATGAGATAGCAGCATAATAATTAGATGCTTAAACATCTAACGATAAGAAAATAATGCTTCTGAAAATCAACAGTTGTCAAGCAACAAAAACTCTTGGGGAAAATGACTTTCCTATATTTTTGGCATGCTTCTTTAAAAGGCTAAAACTAGCAAGGATATTGCTGTATTCATATCAAATTAACCTCTTGAAAAATATTTTCTAAAACTTGCATATTGTATAATCTAGCAAGCTATAAAGCTATGAAAATGGAAAACAGAATATAAAGGAATTGTCACCAAGTACAAATGAAAGTTGCTAGTATCAAAACTTCTGGATCTGTGTTTCAAATGCCAAAGTCTACAGGACTGCATTCTAATGTTCTATCTGATACAAGCCCTGACTTGCCTATTGAAAGCCCTGGCTTGCCTACTGAAAACCCTGAGTTGCCTATTGAAAGTTACGGTGATTTATGGAGAAGCTCAAAAGAAGATGCAGTCACAGAAAACAGTGTAAACCAAATTCTAAGTCCGCCCTCCCCCAATCATCTGAATGGACTTCCTCCTCAGCTAGGGCTCTTTTGACCTGAGAGACTGGTTCAGGCCATGACAGGAAGTAGGAGTGAGACATGCTTGATTATACACCTCCAGCATTAACATCAACACAGACAAAGTCTGATATGAAACATTTTACAACTATTCTCTCTGAAGCCTGCGACCTGGAGGCTTCATGTGCATGATAAAACTTTGGTCCCCACAACCTTTTTTTTTTTCTGGGATGGGGTCTCACTCTGCCTCCTAAATTCAAGACTTCAGCCTCTCAAGTAGCTGGGATGACAGGGGTATGCCACCATTCCTGGATAACTTTTGCATTTTTAGTAGAGATGGGATTTCACTGTCTTGGCCAGTCTGGTCTCAAACTCCTGAGTCTCCACAACCTCTTATCACAACCCAGACATTCCTTTCTATTGATCCCAGGTCTGTGGATAAACTCAACCAATTGTCAATCCAAAAATTTTAAAATCTACTGATAGATAAACTCAAGTTCTTCCTCAAATAAAGCATACCCTGTCTCCCTGTTCTTTGAATTTTAAAAGGCCTAACCCACGGATGCCCTAACCTGTCAGGGTGTGCCTAGACATGCCCAGGCATGTCTTAGCTTATAGCATATACCCCTTTCCTTATTTAGACATGTTATTGCTTTCCTAGCTCTTTAGCAAGCGACTTCCTCCCTCCCTTTGCTCTCCATTGTCTTTACCAGTTTAGGATAGTTTTAAGCTCTTAGCCAATTGGGGTTTAGCTTAGACTGTGAGGTCCAGCTCCAGCCAATGGAGACTGGACACATGGTCGAAGCCTCATGCATTAGGGATAAAAAGTTCCCCTCTCCTTTGTTCATGGTGCTCTTGTGGCGAGCAGGTTCACAGGTGGCACCCTTCTGCGTAGGTAAAATTGTCTTGCTGAGAACTTCTTTGAGTGCTCGTTTTCTTTGCACCTTCAAACTTTTACTTCTAACATCCACCTATAAGCTGGAACCCCCAACCCCCAAAGTTGTCCTCCCTTTCGAGACCAAAGCAATGTATTTCTTAAGTGTATTTGACTGTTGTCTCATGCCTCCCTAAAATGTAGAAAACCAACCTGCACCCCAGCCACCTTGGGTGCATGTTCTCAGGACCTCCTGAGGGCTGTGTCATGGGCCATGGTCATTTATATTTGGCTCAGAATAAATCTCTTCAAATATTTTACAGGGTTTGACTCTTTTTTGTCAACCAAAGTGTAAGGCAATTTCAAATATTTTTTCCTCTTAAAATCAAACTACTGCTTAGCACTTTATTTTCTAAACAACCATTCAGAATTGAAGGTAAACAAAATCTATAGTTTAAGTGTACTTTGCATATATTAAAGGATCACAAAATAGTTTAATGGGTTTTCATTTTTATTAAAGTTATTCACAATTCCTACTTCAAGATATTCCACAACATAAGAAAAGGAATATTATAGCTACTTGTAGGCAGTACCAGTTGAATTAATGCAAATTTTTGAAATATGATTTAAATATTTTTCATAAGACAGGCATTTAATAAAATATGTGAATTTCTTATACTATATTACCAAAGGTAAAGACTCCCTGACAGTTTCTTCTGTATAAAAATCCAAGACGAATCTGATCGAGTAAAGAGCAGAATGAATATTAGGACTTTTGAGAACTAGTAACCTAATCCATATTGCTCAATGAAACATTAAGCTGCAGAGGAAACATTACAATGTAATGTAATAAAAGAAATAGCACCTTTGAAAAACCAAGTTATAAAGTAAACTTTTGCAACAATATTCTACAAATCTCTATGTGAAAAATAAACTACAAATCTCTGTGAAAAAACTACAAATCTCTATGTGAAAAATATCTGTAAAGGAGGTTACCACCACAAAATCAAGTGATTTTTAAAAGTGTAATGTTACATGTTGATTGTTAAATGGAAACAATACAGAACATTTAAAGCAAAAATTAGAACTAGATATCCCAAGGACAAAAAAAAAAAAAAAAAGTTTATTTTCTTTTAAAATCACATATTTACTATTTTCTCAAAAACTGGGTAGTAAATCAACATTTCTGAATAAAAGAAGGACATTTTTTAAAGGCCCTACTTACAAATTAAGGCATTAAAGTATCTCTAGCGTATCTTTTTTATTAAATACAAAGACAGGAACTTTATTACAAGACATTTTGCTGTTCAGTGGAATTCAGAATGAGATAAGTCTGTTTTTAGATCATACCCCAAAATATTTAGCTACCTAAGTACCACAAGTGGATTATCCTAACAATTGTTACAAGACAATTCCACATTGTAGAGAAGATTTTCTCAACCAAAGTTCTGAGTACAGCCTCATCATCATCATCATTATTTTTCAGAGACAGGGTCTTGCTCTGTCACCCAGGCTTAACTGCAGTTGTACCATCATAGCTCACTATAACCTGGAATTCCTGGGCTCAAGTGATCCTCCCACCTCAGCCTCCCAAGTAGCTGGAACTATAGTCATGTGTCACCATGCCTGGTTAATTTTTTTTGTATATACATATATATTTTTAAGAGATGGGGTCTTGCTGTGTTGCTGGTCTTGAACTCCTGAGCTCAAATGATCCTCCTGCCTCAGCTTTCCAAGGTGCTGGGATTACAGGTGTGAGCCACCACTCCCAGCCTGAATACAGCATTGTAATCAGATGTCCTGTTATTTTTTTAACAGTGGGGCAAATACTTATGCTCTTCCTAACCTCTTAAAACCTTCACAGTTGAAAAGCTTGTCTTTAAGTGGCTAATTTAAATAAAAATAGATTTTTTTAGCGGTATAAATAATTTCAACTGCCTAGAAATATTTCCAAGGAATATTTTCCAACTGTGACACATCCACTTGAATTCATGTGTGTGTTTTTACGCTGTTATTTTACCTACATCAAAAGTCTAATTTTAGCAAATTATATCCACGCTTCCAAAAATTGTGATTAATCATAACTTTGCCTTGTTTCCTGAAAAAATAGATTGTGGGTTCAAAAACACCAATACATTATTAACAAGTTGTTAACAAATTTGCATTTACTTTCATTTATAAATATCACATAAATATCACTGGCAGGTATAATAGTAAATCATTAAACTAATTTCTAAATATTGATTTTAAAAGCTTTGAGCATGTTTAAAAAAAAATTAGTAGAAGTTTTTTTTCCCCCAGGTAATACACCTAATTATTTTCTTAGTAATCAACACCTACCCAAGAGTTATTGATATTTGCACAGTTCTTGTGAAAAATAGATCTGGCATAAGAGGAACACAAATATTGGCAAATACCACATGTCTCAAGTTATATTTTAAGAAACCATACAATCCATGATATTTCACAAAGTTGTTTATTCTTGTTATTAAAATTTGGACTCAAGTAAATCCTGGTTATTCTGGAAAAAGCACCTTGTTTGCAGGGATCATTTAATCATCCTTTTCTACAATCACCTCTCCATGAAGCACCTTTCTTCTTTGACGTAACATGTGAAAATAGAGTTGTGGAAACACTTCGTTGAAAAAGAAAACAAAGAAAATGTTTTAAAATCATTTATACTTGAAACCTGTTAAATATGGCAATGTTAGAGAGTAAATACATTCCATACCACTGCTGTTCCCTGGATATTTACAGACCTCAGGAGTGTAAGGGTGCAAATGGTGGGGTACAGTGGCTCATGCCTGTAATCCCAGCACTTTGGGAGGCGGAGGTGGGCACATCACCTGAGGTTGGGAGTTCAAGTCCAGCCTGACTAACATGGAGAAACCCCGTCTCTACTAAAAATATGAAAAATCAGCTGGGCATGGTGCTGCATGCTTGTAATCCCAGGTACTCGGGAGGCTGAGGCAGAAGAATCACTTGAGCCTGGGAGGCGGAGGTTGCAGTAAACCAAGATCGCACCATTGCACTCCAGTCTGGGCAACAAGAGCAAAACTCTGACTCAAATAAAAGAGTGCAAATGGAGGCTACATACCACATGTCTAAATATTATAATGCTGTAATTGTTGGGGCTTTGTTTTTATTTTTGCTTTTTTTTTTTTTTTTTTTTTTTTTTCTTTTTTTTTTTTTTTTTTTTTTTTTTTTCTGAGACAGAGTCTTGCTCTATTTCCCAGGCTAGAGTGCAGTGGCATGATGTCAGCTCACTGCAACCTCTGCTTCTGGTTTCAAGCGATTCTCCTGCCTCAACCTCCCGAGTAGCTGGGATTACAGGCACATGCTACCACGCCTGGTTAATTTTTGTATTTTTAGTAGAGATGGAGTTTCACCATGTAGGTCAGGCTGGTCTTGAACTCCTGGCCTCAAGTGATCTGCCTGCCTTGACCTCCCAAAGTGCCGGGATTACAGGCGTGAGCCACTGTACCTGGCCTACTTTTGCTTGTTTTTTAACAAACTTAAATACCTTTTTAAAAAATACCTTCATAATGACATGGAAGACCATGTTTGAATTTAGAATTCTGAACTCTCTGGAATGCTGTGCCAGAACATTCCAGCACAGGGAAAACGGGTCCACCCAACTTCCTCTTCTCCATTCTCTTGGCCTTATCCTGTACCGCAAGGGGTCTCCTGTACATGTGTGTAGAGACCCTGGTGCATACATCTAAGCTTCATCCATACTGCTCACAAATAACTACCCCCCAGCTATCCTGTTTACTCAGGGATGCATATACTGATACATGGTTAACCCTCAGGACAATGATCAAGGAAGAAGCCTAGTCAGGGCCCAGATGCATGCTCATTGCCATCTGGATAGCAAATTCCATGGTCTCAGGGGTGGCTGGGTGCCGTGGCTCATGTCTGCAATCCCAGCACTTTGGGAGGCCAAGGTGGGCAGATAACGAGGTCAGAAGATCGAGACCACCCTGGCTAACGCAGTGAAACCCCGTCTCTACTAAAAATACCAAAAATTAGCCAGGCATGGTGGCATGCGCCTGTAGTCCCAGCTACTCAGGAGGCTGAGGCAGGAGAATTGCTTGAACCTGGGAGGTGGAGGTTGCAGTGAGCCAAGATCACACCACTGCAGTCCAGCCTGGGGGACAGAGCAAGACTCTATCTCAAAAGAAAAAAGGCAGTGGGCTGCTGTGTGAAGTGACAGTGAGGGGCTACAACAAGGTCCTCTAAATGGGGCCTAAAGCAGAAGCTCTTTCTGGCTGGGTATAAAGGTATTTAGTCTATTACATAATAAACGCATGAATATATATGTTATTAGGTCAGTTGGACAAATTGTCATCTGCTCAGTCAAATTTGAAGAATATTTTGAACCAATTTGAGCCAGTGTTTCAAATCACAGTATAAATGTTGGTGGATAAACAAATCCATATCAGCTATAAACAATACCAGTGTAAAAATATTTCTGAATATAATGAGAATAATCAAACCAATGAACCTTATCACACAACAAGCTTTGAATATTCTGCTTAGGCAACTTTGGGTAAAAATTTCTTTGTAGAACTTAGCTCAAACAGAGCCAAAATGTATAACAGGTTTTATTTCTTTTTATTTAGGTACTTCCTAACTTCAGAAAGGTAACCATTATATTATATATCTAGGGGCCTAAATTTATTCAGGTCATAATTACTTAAACTCACTGAGCAGTTATTTTAAATATTTTCAAAAAATTCTGAGTAGCTGAACAGAAGGTATGGGCTTGAGTTCAAACTCTGGCTTTATTCACCATATTCATCAGCTAGTGATTTTTTTTTTTTTTTTTTTTGAGATGGAGTCTCACTCATGGCGCTGAGGCTGGACTGGAGTGCAGTGGCACAATCTCGGCTCACTGCAACCTCTGCCTCCCCAGTTTGATTCTCTTGCATCAGCCTCCCAAGTAGCTGGGACTCCAGGTGCCCACCACCACGTCTGGCTAATTTTTGTATTTGTAGTGGAGATAGGGTTTCACCATGTTGGCCAGGCTGGTCTTGAACTCCTGACCTCAAGTGATCCACCCACCTTGGCCTTCCAAAGTGCTGGGATTACAGGTGTAAACCACCATGCCCAGCCGCCAGCCAGTGATTTTTAAGCAACTCACTTAACCTCTTTCATCTTAATGTAAATGAGAAATTATACTGCTACTTTTGAGTCCTAAATACTCAAAAAGTAGTTTTAATTAGCAAAGGATTTAATAAGCGAAGAAAAATTAGTTGATCTACTACTAACATCAAGAATGCAGGGGGAGGAGGGAATTAAAAAAAAAAAAAATTCAGTGAAAAACACATCCCAGGCCGAGTGATCTTCTGGCCAGTGGAACTCAGCAGCTGGCAGCATGGTGAACTGGGAAGCTGCTACTTGTACAGGCCAGAGTCTGCATCTCCCAGGACACCTGTAAAAGGTGCTTCAGGTCCTCTGTTTCCATGGAGTTGCCTCAGAGGCCATGAGGAAGAGAATAACCCACTGCTTGAACCTGTAACTGTCAGACACCTAAGCAAGCTCTGGTTCTGCTCAAGGCATGCTACCATTAGCCACTGGGAAAAGTGAGGGATGTGAACCAAGAGAGTAGGCTTCCCCTCCTTAGCTCTCTTGAACTGGCCCAGGTAGAAAATCAGATACAGAATCGGGTTGAAATGGTAGAAGATGAGGGGAAAACACATCTTTCACCACTAAGTAAATTCTGATTTTGGGAAAGATGCAAGTTAAAGGCATTGGCCAGAGGCGGTGGCTCACACCTGTAATCCCAGCACTTTGGGAGGCCGAGGTGGGCAGATCCCTTGAGGTCAGGAGTTTGAGACCAGCCTGGCCAATATGGTGAAACCTCATCTCTACTAAAAATACAGGAATTAGGTGGGCATTGTGGCAGGTGCCTGTAATCCCATGAACCCAGGAGGCGGAGATTGCAGTAAGCCAAGATCACACCACTGCACTCCAGCGTGGGCAAAAGAACCAGACTCGGTCTCAGAAAAACAAAAAAAGTTGGATACCTCAAGAGGCCAGCCAAGTTTTATGTTCATCCCCTTTAGATGAAATAGTTTATATCACATCAGTGTAGGTTTTAGAGCTATCAATATTTGACCTAAAAATATATCACTGTTAGCAATTTTTTTTTTGACAGAGTTTCGCTCTTTTGGCCCAGGTTGGAATGTAATGGTGCTATCTCAGCTCACTGCAACCTCTGACTCTTGGGTTCAGGTGATTCTTCTGCCTCAGCACCCACTACCATGCCCAGCTAGTTTTTGTGTTTTTAGTAGAGATGGAGTTTTGCCATGTTGGTCAGGCTGGTCTCGAACTCCTGACCTCAGGTGATCCACCCAAAGTGGATCATCTCCCAAACTGCTGGGATGACAGGAGTGAGCCACTGAGCCCGGCCTCACTATTAGCACTTAAATGGAGTAAAGCCTCACCAATTCATTGTAACTACTGAAAGGTGATGAGAAATTAGTGAAGAGGCTGAGTTATTCAAAATCCTTTAAGAAAAGTGGCTTTATTGTTTTCAAGTACACAGAGCAACACAAATAAGACTCAAACCTACTCCTAGATGATTTTTCCAAGTATATGCTTAATGAATAAATAGAAATGCTCTGAAATTTTCTTGGATAGATTGTTTATACTCAGATATACAATTCTAAATGCTTGTAAAAAGCGCACTAATGCTTTAAACATGATTTATTTTTATCTTTCTTTAAAAACATCATACTAAGCTGATGTTTAAATGATTTTGAGACAGCAATCATCCATGCATTAACTTGCTTGCCTTATTTATTTATTTATTTTGAGACGGAGTCTCGCTCTGTTGCCCAGGCTGGAGTTCAGTGGCACGATCTCAGCTCACTACCACCTCCGCCTCCCGGCTTCAAGTGATTCTCCTACTTCAGCCTCCTGAGTAGCTGGGATTACAGGCCTACTACAGGATTACCACGCCTGGCTCATTTTTGTGTTTTTAGGAGACGGTGTTTCACCATGTTGGTCAGGCTGGTCACGAACTCCTGACCTCAAGTGATCTGCCCATTTCAGCCTCCCAAAGTGCCAGAATTACGGGTGTGAGCCACTGCGCCTGGCCTACTTGCCTTTATTCTCATAGCTAGTGAAATGTCTTTTGCCTCACTCTCCCTTCAATTTTCCCAAATTATCAGTAAATATGGGACTAAACTGAAGTTTTAATGTATTTGTAAGCAATTATTTCTAGTTATTTCCCCTTGCTTATTATGCTTTCCTTCCAAAAATTTCCACATTCTACGTCAAATCAAAGTACTAACAAGTATATACTTACATGGTATATATGAGGTCATAGTTATAAGAAGAAAGTAATAGTAGTCAAAAGAGACATTGTATTTGTTAGGAAGTCTTATTGAAAACATTCCCGTTTTCTTCACATACGGCAAGGCGGCATATATTGTAAGAAGTTCACCAGCAACTCCGACAGGATATAAGATGATAAAAAAATTGTATCTGGAGAAAGAAAAACCTCAGAGAATTATTTTTCTACAATAGTTATTAGACTTTACATTGCAGATCTATTGCTACTACTAAATTTAAACTTCAAAATTTTCTTTTCTTTACAATAACTTCACATAAAGTTAATATTTCTATTTTAATGATTTGCTTATTATCACCTAATAACAGTTTCCTGTTTAAAAGGCAAGGTCTTTGTAATAAAATAGTATCAACTAATTTTAGAGTACCAAAATAATTTTATACATTACAAAATGTATATGTAGTTTTATTTGTTTTTGTTTTGCGACGGAGTTTGCTCTTGTCACCAAGGCTGGAGTGCAGTGGCGCAATCTCGGTTCACTGCAACCTCTACCTCCTGGGTTCAAGCAATTCTCCTGCCTCAGTCTCCCAAGTAGCTGGGATTACAGGCGTGCACCACCATGCCCAACTCATTTTTGTATTTTTAATAGAGATGGAGTTTGACCATGTTGGCCAGGCTAGTCTCAAACTCCTGACTTCAGGTGATCCACCTGCCTCAGCCTCCCAAAGTGCTGGGATTACAGATGTGAGCCACCGCACCTGGCCTCTGTAGTTTAAAAAAATGTAGTGTAATGGTAACTTCTTTGGTTCATAGAATCACAAATGACTGCTTTTGCCCCTGGCAGCTAATAATTTACTGATCAAATGCTGCATTTAAAAAGATCAGTGATTATCCTAAATTTTATATCTGAACCTTGAAATTACCAAGGTAGTTATTTTTAAGAGGCATTTGAAAAAGTCTTTGTGGTTACTAATGAGAAGCAATTATTGCAGAAAACTGATAATATCACCTAAAGCATGAGTAGCTACTAATAAGTATATTATATTGTTTAAAACTGCTCCCATAACAAAACAAGTTCACAAGTTACTTCCTGAATTCCCACATTAAAGGAGTAGTTGGCTTGTTTAAAATAGAGCTCAGAAAGTTCAACTCTAAATCCAAAGTCACCATGTGTTCATTCGGTCTGTGGCAAGGTCTGCAACACACAGGAAGCCAGGCATCATGTATACTTTTAATTAGGAAACACTCTGTTCTACTGGCTGGTCTCCAGTAAGAGGGGCCTAAAGGATCCAAGATGACAACATTTCTTCATTAAAGAAAATCATGGCCAGGTGCGGTGGCTCATGCCTGTAATCCCAGCACTTTGGAAGGCCGAGGAAGCTGGATCACAAGGTCAGAAGTTCAAGACCAGCCTAGCCAAGATGGTGAAACCCCATCTCTTGTAAAAATACAAAAATTAGCCAGATGCAGTAGCAGGTGCCTGTAATCCCAGCTACTCAGGAGGTTGAGGCAGGAGAACAGCTTGAATCCAGAGGTTGCAGGTTGCAGTGAGCTGAGATTCTGCCATTGCACTCCAATCTGGGTAACAGAGTGAGACTCCATCTCAAAAAAAAGAAAAAGAAAAAAGAAAATCATTTTTCTCCAAGTTGTTCACAATGTAACAGTTACCACAGAAAATTAAGGTCAAAAGGCCAGAGTGCAAGACCAGCCTGGACAACATAGTGAGACTCCGTCTCTAACAACAACAGCAAAAAATTAGCCCAGCACAGTAGTGCATGCCTGTGGCCCCAGCTACTCAAGAGGCTGAGGCAGGAGGATTGCTTGAGTCCAGGAGGTCAAGGGGGCTGTTAGCCAAGATCACACCACTGTACTCCAGCCTGGGTGATACCACAAGACCCTGTCTCAAAAAAATTAAATTAAAAAAAAAAAAGTTTTTAATTTAAAACCAAAGATCAACATTTTGATGGAAAAAGAAATCAAATTAATCTGTATTTTATTTAATCACTTTGATGGCATTAAGAAATATCTATGAAGAAAAGTCAAAGTTGTCAGTATTGAAGAAGTTTGGAGACAAATTAAAAATCACCTTATTCCTGTGTGTCAGGGATATGCGAAGATAAAAGATGGGGAGGAGGGCAGAATTATTTGCCGAAACACATGAGATGTTCAAGAAAGAAGAATGATTCCTTCACTGTATCTGTTTATCCCTTCCTGGCCTTGCTTTCTTACTAGTCTGGTGTAGTTTTTTGTGTATTATTTAAATCAGTCCTTTCCTATACCTCAATTTTTTAAATCACATAACTGGACATTTTATATACCTGTCTCAATAAAATATCCAAACTGATTAAGTGGCTTTCAAATGATTTTTTTTGGCAGAATTGTTCTTTTAACAGAAGAAAAAACTATCACTCCTACTATAAGCTAGTTGAAAGTCTTTTTTTTTTTTTTTTTTTAAAGATGGGGTTTCACCATGATGACCAGGCTGGTCTTGAACACCTGACCTCAGGTGATCCACCCACCTTGGCCTCCCAAAGTGCTAGGATTACAGGCGTGAGCCACCGCGCCCGGCTGAAAGTCTTAAAGGCAGTGAAAATGTCTAATGAAATGGGAACAAATTATATAATTTATTTGACTTTACTTGCACTTCAAAAACATTGCATGTCACTAACTCTCTAAGTTCTGAAGGCAGTGTGGGAGATTTAACTATGGATAGAACACATTAAAAAAAAAAAGATACAATGCATCTTTGAAGGTTCCCAATTCCTGTCTAAAATTGTTTTGAAGGGAGTGCATTTTCTAAATCAAAATGGAAATCAATATGAAAAACATAACTTACTATACAATTACCTATTCTAAGGACTTTTCCAAGAACTCTTGTAACACATAAATAGAATCAAAGTATATTCAAACTGTAACAATAGGCCAAACTACTTATAAATAAGAAGCTATTTCTAAAGTGAAGCTTTATTTGAGAACAACAGCTTCAACATCTGAACATAAATACAAATATTATCTTATGTTACTTAATGGGATTGGGAACTATATTTAGATGGCTGGGATTTTTTGAGACCTTTTGGACATGTAATTATTTATGATTAGTATCCACTGATATATTATGCAAAACATGATTTCAAAGCTGAAACATTGTGTGACTTGTTTAACATTAAGGCAATAGAAAAACACTTTCTTTTTTTGAGACAGAGTCTCACTCTGTAGCCCAAGCTGGAGTGCAGTGGCATGATCTCAGCTCACTGCAACCTCTGCCTCCTGGTTCAAGCAATTCTCCTGCCTCAGCCTCCCAAGTAACTGAGATTACAGGCACATGTGACTAATTTTTGTATTTTTTAGTAGAGATGGGGTTTCACCATGTTAGCCAGGCTGGTCTCAAATTCCTGACCCCAAGTGATCCGCCTGCCTCAGCTGCCCAAAGGGTTGGGATTACAGGCATGACCACCACACCGAGCCTGCAATGGATAAGCAGTTTCTAAAAAGGAAACTTCAGTGTACGATGGCAGAGTTTTTAACTTTTTCAGACACTCAAGACATGCAAATGCATTGCAAAAGGCAGACACACAAAGCCATCAAGAGTAACATGCCTGACCTCAGGAAAATGTGCAGTGTACATTCCACTATATTCTTCAGACAAATTTTGTAAATTCAGCACATGAAAAGAGACTTTACCATGAGTTAGTATTTTCAAAGGTGCCAGAGGTCCAGAACATTGTCATGCAAAATGATATTCATGTGTTCTAGGATTACAGTCCAGCTACATTCAAAACTTCGAACCTTTTAAAAAGCCCAGTCACTAAAGCTAAATACGTTTTCATGTACAGTAAGATTAAAACCAAACAAATCCATATAATTGGTAGTGCAACCTTCTTATGACAGGATACTTAAGCTCAAATTATAAAGTATTTCATCATATGCAAAGTGGTAAGCCACAAGTGCCTAAAAAAGAACTAGAGAACATTAAAAAGTCTAAACGAATAGGTGACACAGCCAGGTGCGGTGGCTCACACCTGTAATCCTAGCATTTAGGGAGGCTGAGTTGGGTGAATCACTTGAGCTCAGGAGTTCAAGACCAGCCTGGGCAACATAGTGAAACCCCATCTCTACAAAAAATACAAAAATTAGCCGAGTGTGGTGGCCTGCGCCTGTACTCCCAGGTACTTGGGAGGCTGAGGCAGGAGAATTGCCTGAGCCCAGGCAGTGGATATTGAAGTGAGTCAAGATCGTGCCACTGCACTCCAGCCAGGGTGACAGAATGAGATCGTGTCTCAAAAACAAACAAACAAACAAAAAAAAACCATAAAACACAATTCACGGTGATTATCCTTGGGTAGAGAGAATAAAAGTAATTTAAAAGTAGTTTTCCTTCTTTTAGGTTTATATATTCTCATTTATTAGATTCAAATATGGGTAATACATGAGATTAAAAAGGAGCAATTGACCAGGCATGGTGGTTCACACCTATAATCCCAGCATTTATCACCACCTGACATATCACATATATATTAGTTTATGTTTGTCTTCATCCTAAGACAATTTGTTTTGTTTATACCTGCATCTCAGGCATGCAGTAGGCACATACCATTTGTTATTGCTGTTGCTACTATAAGTACAATATAAAGAACAGAATGAACAAATCTGTACTGATTTGTGATTTGTTCTCCACAGAGCCATTTTGCTTTTATAATAACTTTCTAAAATATCACTTGCTCAAAGAATTCCAACTTCAAAAGGAACAGATATCTTTTGCTTTAAAAACTGTTGCTTTAAAAAATTTATATTTGAAGGCTTTCAAATACAAAATTTGTCCACATTCCAAATAATACAATTTTAAGTAAGTGTGACTTTTTAAAATATCTCTGCAACTTAAAGAAAAAAGCCAGTTGTATTGTCTAAATGACATAAACTGTGGCTGCTAGACTGACTATTAATTTACATCACAGACCAAAAAAACAGTATTTTTGGCATTGCTTATTTAAGCTAATTCCAACAATGTATATTGTGCATTCCAAAAAAAATGAATGACCAATTCTGACATTAAGGATACAACAATAATTTGTCTTGCATTGATTTCACTCAAAATATACATTAATATGATTACTCTCTGATCATTAAGCTTTTAGAATACAAATCATAACTTGTATAATTATTAGTTATACCAGCTAATATCCAAAGCAACAGCATTGTGGCATCGTGGGGCTGAAACACAAATTTTAATTCTCTGGTGTTAGCTCCGCACACAAAATCAGCATGCACAGGACAGTGAGAAACTAAACTGCAAGACATCGCCACCTGGCCCATTTAATGAAGTATGGCAAGTGATCAAGAAGGCTGAATGTGTAGAAGGAATAGCGAGTGATCTCTGTCACCGTCCACGCGACCAGAAAAAGCACCACACTCTCCTCATTCTGGATCTGCAGAATTACAGAGAAATCCACAGTGTTGTTCAACCTTGAACTTCTTTTTCAATGAAGGTACTTTCTTTACTTATGTATTGCCTTTTATTTAGAATGGAATGCTAGGGTTAGACAAATGCAATACAGAAAACTTAATGCAGTCACCATTAACGTAATTAATTGTGAACGTGGAACTTAAATATGTCCTGTGCACAGGAATAGTTGACTATCGACTGGTTTTTCTTCCCTCATCCTTCACTTCAGGCAATACCGCTATCACCTGAGGACAAAAGTTACCCTGATGAAACCTAAATGAGAACAATCTGACCTTCCTACTTCTATTAATCACTGAATCACACCTGTTCTACTGTAAGACCAATGCTTGAATTGCTTACTCATGTTTACCCCTTTTACCACTATTTTAATTTAGAGTTTTATCATCTCTCATGTGGACTACTGTAACTGTCTCCTAAATGGTCTTTCCTCTCTTTATTCTTCACATGAATGCAAGTTTTCCTTTAAAAAATAAGTTTAAAAAGCAAATCAATAAAAAACAAATTGGAATCAGCTAAGTGCTGTGATTTAAAAGTTTCACCGGTCCCACACTACTTAGCAGAATAAAAGGAGGAGCCCTAATACCTGGGCACCATATTCAAAGCTGTTTACAATCTCTGCTTGGAAATCTCTCTAACTTCATCGACAATTACTCAACCCTCCTACCTACTTCTCTGTCTGGTAACACTAGATTTTGTTATTTCCAGATTGTGCTCTGAACGTGTGCAATTTTACACATGCTATTCCCTCTCATTAGAACGTTACTCTCTTATTCCATGACAAATCGTTTCTCATCTTTCAAGATTCAACTAAAACGTCTCACCCTCTAGAAAACTGTCCCCAACCCTCTTGTCTCACCCTGAGCAGTTATTTGTTCACCACCCCCCTTTTTTTTTTTTTTGGAGGTAGAGTCTTGCTCTTCACCCAGGCTGGCATGCAGTGGCACGATCTTGGCTCACTGCAAACTTAACCTCCCAGGTCAAAAGATTCTCATGCCTCAGCCTCCGTAGTAGCTGGGATTACACACCTGGCTAATTTTTATATTTTTAGTAGAGACAGGGTTTCACCGTGTTGGCCAAGCTGGCCTCGAACTCCAGATCTCAAGTAATCCACCTGCCTTGACCTCCCAAAGTGGTGGGATTACAGGCATGAGCCACCATGCCCGGCCCACCACCCTCCCTCTATGGCACTTTGTTCATATCTGTATTGCGGCATTGGCCGATCTGTACTAAAAGCTGTCTGGCTCACTCTTTTACAAGTCAGCACTCAACATCTATATCACTCCTTAAGGAGAGCCCTCTTCCACTCCCTATGTCAGACTAAGTCCCTAGGTATAGGGCAAAGCATATTAGGCTCTAGCTTCAAAACAATTAACACTTACATAATTAAATATTTGTTTAGCTTCCTTCCCAACTATAGGCTCCATCAGGTGAGAAGCATGTTTGTATTATCAACAGCCATATCCCAGCACACTGTCGGGCACAGACGAGGTACACAGTTAGCCTCTGTGCATGATTGGATGTCAGGTGTCCCCCACTTCCAAACAGCCAGTACCCTTGACAGCTAGTATTGCCTTGTTCTTTTTCTTTTTTTTTTTTTAGACAGAGTCTTGCTCTGTCACCCAGGCTGGAGTGCAGTGATGTGATCTGGGCTCCTTGCAACCTCCACCTCCTGGGTTCAAGTGATTCTCCTGCCTCAGCCTCCCCAGTAGCTAGGACTATGGGTGCATACCACCACACCTGGCTAATTTTTATATTTTTAGTAGATACTGGGTTTCACCATGTTGGCCAGGCTGGTCTCAAACTCCTGACCTCAAGTGATCTGGCTCAGCCTCCCAAAGTGCTGGGTTACAGGTGTGAGCCACTGTGCCCGGCCCACCTTATCCATTTCTTTAAATTTAGAAATTTGCACAGCACCAGGTGTACAGAATGCATTCAATAATATTTGTTGAATTAATTAAGAAGTGCTGAATAGATACCAGTGGGAAACTATTGTCAGCAAAAAATAAATCGGAACATTGAGGCAGAGATCCTCTGGAGGATAAACGGGGCAGATGGGTCCTGTTTTCTCTTTGGAACTTGCCATTCTCAAGCCTCCCTTTACCTCCTTCTCTTTAGTGTCAAGTTAAGGTTTCTTTCTTCTTCATTCTTCAGACTCGCTGTGGTCCTGAGGTCGTATTCCCTCACTGCCTGGAGGAGTTTCTCTTCTAGTCTGTTAATGCTGCCCTTCTGCTTTTAAACTAGTAGGCAAAGTTAATTAATAGTTTGCCTCTCCTGCACTGCTGTCTGCACTATCTGCATGGCAGTCGCTGGTTAGGGAACAGGTAAATCATGCAACTCGAGTGAAAGATACTAGTCAAGAGGGCTCAAGTATAAAGGACAGGAGGTCAGTGAGGTGTCCCCACACAGACAGGAGGTCGGTAAGGCATCTGAGAAATGGAAAGGAGGCCAGAGATCTGTCCTCAAGTAAACAGGGGGCTCTAAAGGCTGTCAAGAAGGTCAGAAGAATTGACATGGGAAATGTTTCTGTCATGAGTTTTTGTTTGTTTGTTTTTGTTTTTGAGACGGAGTCTTTCTGTAACCCAGGCTGGAGTGCAGTAGTGCAATCTTGGCTCACTGCACCTTCCCCCTCCCAGGTTCAAGCGATTCTTCTGCCTCAGCCTCCCGAGTAGCTGAGACTACAGGCGCCCACCACCATGCCCAGCTAATTTTTGTATTTTTAGATAGAGACAGGGTTTCACCATGTTGGCCAGGCTGTTCTCAAACTCCTGACCTCAGGTGATCCACCCACACTGGCCTCCCAAAGTGCTGGGATTACAGGTGTGAGCCACTGTGCCTGGCTAAAAATAATAAATTTTATACTGACAACTTAAATTACATACCCAAAGAGGACAACTTGGATTGATACAAAAAAACTTCTATAGAAAATAACAGTTTCTGCCAGTTATTTGACAGATTCTGAATACTAATTTCAAAAACTGGAAAATATCAAAGGAGAATCTATTACAGATAGAAGATGCCAATGTTTGGTTTTGCTTGTATTTGGAAGTCATTCTGCTGAAGCACAAAATCAAGGCACAATACTTAAAATTCAAACTCAACTCCTTTTTGTACAATGGTTACACTTCCTGAAATATATCAATGTCCATATTTTAGATTCCTGTTAATGGAAAGCTTTCCTCCAGGCTCAAGTAGACAACATGTTTGCATCACTTACTGGTTTTATACTGTGAGTAATGAGCCACACCATAAAGATTCTTGAACTCACTTGGACCCCAGTCACAAGCACAGAAGTAGGTACAATTCCTTAAAAAGAAAAACAAATCAACTATTGCCCTAAAGGCAATTTATAATAAAAGTATAAAATTAAAGCAAAAACTCACCAATTAAACAGTGAATTATCTGTAAGCAAATAAAAAAAATCATTATGTCAGTAATAGAAAACATTAAGCAAACCGCTATCAACATTGGTATTAAGCAAATCCATAGGTGGTATGTAACCAACAAAATCATGTTGAAATGCGCAACAAAAAAACATTCACATAAATATTACAGTAATAGAAACACAGCATGATGGAAAACTTACCTCAAGCAAGGCAAATGTCTGGAAAAATTTAAGGGTCTTCTGAATACTTTTATATAAACCTCTGTGTGTTCCTTTTTCCATATAAAAGCGTACCATGGCAATAGCTAGAACCAACCACCTAGAAGAAACAAAAATATTTTATAAAGTTCTTTCAAACTAACACTGATTTATGTGTTTACAGCAGCATTATTCAAAATAGTGAAAAGGTGAAAGCAACCCAAGTGTCCATCAGTGACTGAATGGATACATGAAATGGGGTCTATACAGACAATGAAATATTAGCCTTAAAGGGGAAAGAAATTCTGGCCGGGCACCCTGGCTCACACCTGTAATCCTAGCACTTTGTGAGGTTGCGGTGGAGGGATCACAAGGTCAGGAGTTCGAGACCAGCCTGACCAACACGGTGAAACTGCCTCTCTACTAAAAATAAAAAAATTAGCCTGGTGTGGTGATGCACATCTGTAATCCCAGCTACTCAGGAGGCTGAGGCAGGAGAATCACTTGAACCTGGGTGGTGGAGGCTGCAGTAAGCCGAGATCACACTATTGCACTCCAGTCTGGGTGACAGAGA